CATATGTACACATCCTCTGTGCCGTGGAACACAAGTACGCAGGCATGTATGTGCTATCACGTATACATATATACTTAAGTAGGAATGTGTACAGATACATACAGGGGATATGTATATAGAGATAATATATAATGATAGGCTTGAAACGGGAACTATCCCACCTACCTCCCTTGCCCTGATCTCCCTTCTCTTTCCCTTTCTCCATCCGCCCTCCCGCCCCTTATCACCCTGCTGATCCCCGCACCCTCCGACCCCCCTTCCCGCGCCCTACAGATAGCAGGTGACGGGGATATTACGAGGGAGGCTATCGGGAGACATGCTCACCACCTGGCCGCATCGGAAAGCGAGGTACGAAATGCCTTCGACGCCCTCATTGAGAGAAGCAACCGGATCGTCATCACCATCCTACGCAACGATAGGGAGGAGATTGTTGGTCTCAAACAATCGGACTCAGCGCCACGATTGTGGACCAATCTCATCATGAACAGACTGGAGTCCAACCATGAGGCAGTCATTAATGATTTCAGGGATCTTTGCCGCACTCATAGAAGGCTCCTTATTGCGGATGCAGTTGCGAATGACCTACAGACGCGCCAGCTGGAGCGGAGAATTGCGAAACTAAGGAGACTCAACCAATTGCTAGCCAGCACCCTCCACTCCTTCTCTGCCCTCGCAATAGCCCTTTGCTATATCGCCACCCTAACTATCTGAAAAGTTGATGATGCTCATACATGCATGCAGGTCTGAAGCGGGAAACCACAGCAGACTGAGTGAGCGAAAGAAACCGTGCCCTGCCGATCAAAGCCTGAGATCAGCTCGGTGAATCCACTCCTTGGCTGGCATGGCGCTGGAATTGGGACGACGTATTCCGGAGGTGCTCCGGGTGGAACTTGACCCGGATATCTTCCTACCCTGGCCACCGGCTGGATCCGCCATGATCAAGATCGTCAAACCGGATATCTAGGAAGCACAGAGGAGCTTTGTGCAACCTGCCATACCCATCGACAACATCACCATGGCGGACATCCTGACGGCGTCTCCGCAGATCACAACGATAGTCGGGGTCTTGCTTAAGGTGGAATATGAAGGGGTGGTGGTGGGGGAGATAAGGGGGTTTGGCACCAGATCGGAGGAAGGGAGGATTACCTGTGATATGAGATCGAGGGGAGTCTCTGGGGATGGGGCTTTCCCCGAGGAACGGACTGGGCTGCTCTGGCCCGTGATAAGGGCAACCATGAAGGATGTAACATCATCAATAGCTACTACACTGGACTATGGCGAGGATTTGGGGGGGAGCTGCTTCTACTGATTCGGAGGATTGTTCGGCCCGAGATCGGATTTCTGGGGGAGAATCGTAAGGATTGGAGACGCCCTGTATGCAGAACCAGAACCTTCTGCAACTGGCATGGACGAGGCATTGGCGATAACCTGTACGAGTTCCACAACGGCACAGAACGACGACGGAATAGCAGGGGGTGATGCAGCGGACCAGCTGGAGGAAGTGGCACATGGCGGCGGCGCGGCCTGATTAATGGGAGCAAGCGAGGAGGAAGCAGCGAAGGGACTACTCCTCCTGGATAAATGCATATACTCCCTACTCCCTGCTCCCTCCTCCAGCCCTCCTCGCCCCGTCCTCCTCTTCTTCCCCCTCCTCTCTCCTCCTCCTCCTCCTCCTCCTCCTTTTTCCCTCCTCTCCCTTCTTCCTCCTCCCCCATTCCTCCTCTCTCTCTTTTCCCGTATATGGTAAGCTCCCCGCCTATGCGCATATTACAACGCAATTGAGGCCCCTGGGCCTGATAGGAGCTGGAATTGTCTCGAGCAACGCAGTGTTCGAATGACTGATTTTTTGTTCTCAGATTTTTCATTTTCTTCTCTTTTCTTTTCTTTTCTTTTCTTTTCTTTTCTTTTCTTTCTTTTCTTTCCTTTTCTTTTCTTTTCTTTTTTTTTCTTTTCTTTTCTTTTCTTTTCTTTTCTTTTCTTTCATTTTCTTTCCTTTCTTTTCTTTTCTTTTCTTTTCTTTCTTTCCTTCCTTTCTTTTCCTTTTTCCTCTCTGTTCTTCTTCTTTCCTGTTTCGCCTTGACTGCAGGAATGCATGGGTCGGATCGAGATCGGACCCTCGGGTAGAAGGAGATGGTGTAAGGGGAAGGACGAGCCGCGGAGGAAGTTTGTACACATGAGATACGTGAATAGATTAATGGATGCAGTCTCAGCCAGGGCATTAATCATTTATTTGATGACGGCTATTATTGACGACAATTCGCTGAATGGATGGAGACCGTCACCCTCGGCTGGACCTATAATAAGCTTGTCTTTGGGATGCTTTATAAACCAGCGGAAGTATTCCGAGATTTCGATCTGGACCAGTGGGAAGGTAACAAGGGTAGTTGTGCCTGTAGCAATAGATACGTTAGGTTCACTAATCCAGCTACTGGGGGGCTGCTTGAATCGGGGAGGATTGGGGAAACCCTGGGGCATCACGTGATCACCTTGGATTACACAATCTCCCGGTTACCCCAACTCAGAACTATCCTACACTTCGGCCTGAATCACATTCTCGCCACGAAGCTAGACATTGAGGAGGCGGTTAAGGAAGTTCTGAAAGCTTTTGATGAAGTAATAACACTATACAGTAGGGAATATGAGGTCCGGGAGGAAGAACTATGCAGGGGTAGAACGGGAATTAAGCAATATTGTTTTAACAGATTTGTGGAGTATAGGAGGGGGCACAGTGATGCAGGGGTCATTGACCCTAATGAACATTTCCTCTTGCATGAAATCTCGTATATCACGAAATACTTCTTTATCGCCTGTATGGATAAAGCGGCGAATACCCCAGTCATCATATGTAAGGATCTGGTAAGACAGCTGACATTCAAAAGGTTATCAGGACCTGATTTTGAGAAACTCGAGCATAAGCCGGAGCAGATAATCGAGATCATAAGCAGTAATAATACAGTGGATTACTCGCTGGGGCCGTATAAAATCTCATATCTCATGGCTAACTTCAAAAGCCACAAGAATACTTTGAGATGGATCACTAATGCTAACCACTGTGTATTTTTCCCTGTTGCCACCCTATGTGCCGGTGCTATGAAATTGGTCAGTGAGGAAGTCCAGAAGTATTGTAAGGAAATGTCCCGAACAATAAAGAACCTTCACGGGATCAATGTGAACCTATGGTGGCCTATAAACTCCATTAACGAGTATGTTCTGAACTTACCTGAAACCATCTTCACATACTTCTCTGCAAATATCAGCCGATGCTTTGAGACGATCCCAACGGACGACTCGAAACATGGGTTGATCTATGCACTCTCATTTGCAATCAAGAAAGGTTTTGCATACAGATTGAGAACATAAAAAGAGAAGTATATCAGAATTACCACTATGGAGGACGGAAGAACTAAATACGGATGGACAAATTCGAACAGCGGGAGACCTGGGGAAAAAACGATTGGACTTGAGCAGCTAGTCGAAATGAATCAATGGCTGGCAAACAGGAATTACGTTCAATTCGGAGGAAGAATCTGGAGGCAGAGAAACGACATCCCTATGGGGCTCCCCTGTTCACCCATCTGGTGTAATCTATACTTTTTTCGATATGAGTTTGAATGTATGATGAGATTGCGGAGAACTGGGAATAAACATCTAGCGGCGCTTTTCTTACATGCATTCAGGTATATGGATGATTTAAACGTCATCAATAACACCAGCATTTGTGAGTTCCTTATGGAATGTCACCCCCTCAATGAAGAAGATCCTATCTGGCTGTACCCCTCGGAATATATTGAAATCAAGGAACAAAACATTGACGACAAGACTGGTACATTCCTCAATCTTAAACTAAGAATAAAGACACCAGAAGGTGTGTACAGCACGGAGAAATTTGATAAGGTGGAAGAAATGAGATTGAAGGTAAACAAATACATTAGATTTGAGTCTAACAAGCCAATCAAGTAGTCGCTATCAATCATCCTTGGGCAGGTAGCGGCTGTGCTCATTGTCTCATCAGACCCCACCTCAGTTGCACGAGACATTAGAAGGATTGTGAACGAAATGAATCAAAATAAGTTTAATAAGAAGAGGTGTTGGGGAATGGTGAGGAGAGTGCTGAAGAACCCTGAACAATACCAGCCATTTCGATATGCAACGGAGGAAGTTTACCAGATTCTACAAACCTCATTCGGGATGAGATACTAACCCCTGTTGTATGTGCTTGTAGTGGTCTGTGTATCTGTGTGTGATGTGCCCCTGAACCCTCTGAAGAGATGGACCAGGGTGGTATCTGTAAGGGATCTGTCTGGGCCAGGTACCCTTGCAGGTACCTGTCCCAACCTGGAAACCCCCCTTGCAGGGGTTAGTGGGTGGGACACACACACACACACACACACACACACACACACACACACACACACACACACACACACACACACACACATATATAGAGGTTCCAAGGAGGACGAACTTTCGAGGGATGCAGCAGCAGAGAAAGGGCCCGAAGGAGAGCCTCGGGAGCATGCGGACCCAGGTGAGACTATGGACATACCCTGAGTAGACAAGTACCCCAGGACAAAAGCCCGTACCCTTCCGGGGACAGAGAGTGACCAGACTTGAACCCTGGACCTACGGAATAGAGTAGGCATGT